GAAACATCATACAGCCATTCCACTAGCATTTATTTGCAACAAATGCCATTACTTACTCGTACTTCTGGTTTCATTTTGAATAGTTACCTACACTTGTCTTCTTGTGGTTATTTTTTCGCTTAGTGGGGGGTGGAGTCCAGTTGGGTCCACTCGGTAAGTCGGCCACTGATTGGCCTATTGTATCTACCCCGGGTGATTATGATGATTGAGAATTTGGTGGAATGAAGATTGGCAGGGGAAACCGAAGTACTCGGAGAAAACCTGCCCCAGTGCCACTTTGCCCACCACAAATCCCACTTGACCAGACCCGGGTTCGAACCCGGGCCGAAGCTTCTTGTGGGTTACTTCACACCACTTCCAGTATCGCAGGCAATATTGAGTCGAAACGTAGGATGAACTGGAAAGGATTTAGAAGGAACCTAAATGAGGTTATGTCCCGGCATTTGCCTCGAGGGACAAGAAAACTGGGTCTATCTCTTTCCCCGTCATCACGATGTCACGCGGCTGACAGCCCAAGAAGAATTCAACACGTCACGTCTTATATACGCTTATTTACTGTGGCGAGAGCCGGGATAGTGCAGTCGGTATAGTGACTGGACGACCGAGGGGTCGGAGTTCGAGTCCCGGTATGGTCAAGAATTTTCTCTTCCCCACGCCATTCTGACCGGCTCTGGGGTCCACCAAACCTCCTATCCAATGGGTACCGGGGGTAAAGCGGCCGGAGCGTGAATCTGACCACTCAACTCCAGCTAGTACCGAGGTCAAGAAAATGTGGATGTGTACATCCACTCCCCCATACGCCTTCATGGCGTAGTACTTAATTAGTTAAGAGCAGGGACAACTTCTCCTTACTGAGACAGTCTTGTAAGCGCATATTCCCACTGCCGAGAGGTGGCTGTGCCACTTTCATAGTCGGGAGTGGTAAAATACGGCCATGAGTCCCAAGGAACCCGGAACCAAGAATGACTGCGCTGACGAAGACCTGCAGCAATTTTTTTTTTATTTACATAAAATTAGCAATCAGAATACATTTGATTCTATAAGCTAATTAGCTATAGTATTCTTCGTGACGTGGAGAGGGCTTATCCAGAGATAAGTCCTGTTAACCCTCTCTCAGGTCGGCTGGCCAATTCCTTTTCAGTCTTCGCCCATTGTGTGGTTCCAGTA